CTAGTCTGTGAGAGTTGTGGGTTTCAGATTCAGAGTCTTTTTAAGAATTTGAGGTTCTAAGTTGTGAATTTCTTGAATGTTAGCCTTTGAGTTGACTTTGGTCAACCTTTGGGATTTGGATGCTCAAATCGAAATTTCAAGAGTTCTGTTTGATTAGGGATGATTTTAGGCCTAGGTGAGGTCTTGATTGATTTTTGAGAGGTCCTGATCTTTTTTAGCCATTTTAGGAGTTGAATTAGTTTCTTGTGTGTTTCACAAATGTCACGTCAAGGAGATCTTAGATTAGTGTTTGACGATTCCATTGAGTCTGAAATGTCGAGTATAATTATTTTGCATATGTGGATTGTGTATAAGGGTTTCAGACGAATTCTTAGGGTCCTTTCGATGTTTTGAGAGTTGACTGAGTTGCTGGTTCCGCAAGCTACGCTTTTGCGAAGGCTAGTCGCTTGAGTGACCTTCGCAAAAAGGAGAGCCTCTCCGCTTGCGCGAGCTTCACAAAAGAGAAGGGGACTTCGCTTTTGCGAACCCCTAGTCTCTTTTGCGACATTAGAGAGGGTTTTTGGTTTGAAAATTTCAGAGTTTTAGCCACATTTTTCATTTTTGAGCTTGGGTACCTTTGGTGGCGATTTTAGAAAGGTTTTCTTGTGCTAAATCATTTGGGTAAGCTTATATGACCCTAAACCTTCATTTTCCTTTGATTATTTATGGCTTTTTAACATCAAAATATGAGATTTTGATTGGTAAATGTGAGGTTTTTCAAAAACTCTAGTTCTAAACAAAAATGGAGATACTGAACTATTTTTGAGCCCTTTTTTGAAATGATCTTTTCCAATGATTTCCTAAAGCCTTGAGTGTTGTTTTCAAGTATTAAATTTTGGATACAAGCCTTCTCTTTGAAATTGAGTTTTGAGTTGATTGACCCATTTTTCTAAAGTAATTGATGTGAGTATTGTTGTTTCTGGAAAATGATTGTGAATACTTGCTTGTATATAGATTGTTGGGCTTTGGAAGGGGAAGACTCAACTCTTGGAGTGATTATTGATTGATTTAAGGCAAGTGATTTTCTAAACCTTGTATTCTAGTAGAATTCATGTATTCCCTTTGTTGCTTGCTTGTTGGGAGTAATGTGTCACGACCCGAGTCTATACCCTGGACGTGGTCAGCACTCAAGAACCATTGTTGGTCCCCAAGCGAACCCTCATCCTGGCTGACTACAAGCGGAAGACTAACTTAAGCATGCAAAAGCTTAAAATTGAAATAAAATTCAATAAACTTAACTTTACAAATCTTTAACTCAAAAGAAAACTCTGTATAATAAAATATATACAACTCGCCATAAAAAGGCATATTTAGTCTTCAAAACATTTAACAAAATAAATGAAAAAGACTTCTGAAACTCTACTGTCTATCTATGAAGCCTCTAACTGATAAAGATGGAAATCGGGACAAGACCCACGACCTCCTAACAACTGAAAGGTAAATGAAATCTTCTGAAAGCAAGAAGGCTCACCATAGCTAACTCGAACTCTCGGATGTATCAACGAAGCTCCTGTTGATGATCCTGAATACATGTGTCTGCATCATGAAAAGATGCAGGCCAAATGGCTCAGTACGTGGAATGTACGAGCATGTAAGAGGAATTCTAAATCATAAACATAAGCTTGAAACTTGATAAAAAGGAAACATACTTACCTCTTCTCAAACTTACTCAACTAAAGGAATACTTAAGGATACTCAAAACTACTCAAACTTACTCAACTCAGAAGTATTCAAGGATAAGATACTCAACTCAGAGATTAGATACTCAACTCAAGGATAGATACTCAACTCAAAGATTAGATACTCAACTCAAGGATACTCAACTCAAGATACTCAACTCTGGATACTCAACTCAATATAAAGCAACAATAAGAGATGCAATATATAGAAAACTTTATAAAACAGTAAAAACAACTTAGTTCGTTAAAGAAAGTGAGATAACAAACTCAACTTTACTCATACCATAAAAAGACATATCATGCTCCCTCTCAAAGTCTACTTGTGCAATGCATGAATGAAGTCCCATACCCCCATTCATACTAAGCA